GGACAACAACATGTAAGGAAGTCCAAGGCGAAGCCGGGCTTCCGCGCTAGTCGTTAATATTTAGGTCGTTTTCTTGGTTGAGATAATTTATCCAAGAGGGGAGCACCAAAGTTTTTTTACATAAGAATATTGTTGGTAAGTATTTTCCCGGAGGGCAAAGGTGCTCATATATGTCCTTTTGGGACTAACTACAAGCGAAAATGCGAGGCCCAGCGGGTATTTGAGATGTGATTGCAGAGGCAAAGCCGAGCAATCACCACGATCAAAGTCCACTACGGGTGATGAAAGTCCAGCAGGTTACGACTCCCACGCTAGCCATCAAGCAATTAGCGCACAAGCGGGCAACTATCCTTGCTAGGGAGAAACCGTTAATTGTCATAGGTATGCAGTAGCATAACAACTGTAGCCTATAAATAATGTAACTCCCTGTGTATGAATTACCCATTTCTGCTCTTATCTCTGATAATGGATCCACGACAAATTTCGAAACGTCAGGCGAATAAAATCCTTGTCCCAGCGATCACATCTACTTCTTCTCGGTAGTATCATTATTTGAATCTGATCAGGCCACCTTGACTGCCACTGCTAGCGGAATGCAAGTCATGCACACCCCTCAATGCGTATGACTGCGATCATTACTTGCGGCCCTGTCTTGGCGTGTTTGAATCATCGTTGGCTGTTTCAAGGCTTGCGCGTTGGCGGAGATTGTCTCTCGTGCTTGTTCTTCTTCTTCTTAGATGCCCAAACTCAACTGGCAGTGACTCACTACCTTTGTACGACCAGTCATCAGATGAGTAACCACCTTGTGATTTTTGGTCATCCGCGTTGTGCATAAATTTACTTCTTATATTGGGTCTGCGGACTTCCAGTGTGCTATCTTAGTCATTTTTGGGGGTGTCTCACCGAGGTATGACACTAATTTCTGTATGGGGCCGCCCTTCTCACACATGATGAGCCGGACGACGTAACCAAATGACAACCAATACGGCCAGCACCGATTTTGCTGGTCTCACCTTGTCGTCCTTGGTCAGGAATTGGGCCGCGCTTCTTGGTTGCCCGAACGGAGGGCATGATAACAAGGCGGTTTTTCAATGTGTCTGTTGATGGAATTGGAGTCTGGTATCCAGGCCTCCAGTAGTTCTCGCCCTGGCTCGTACCTTTATCCGCGTGCCCGTGACCTTAAATTCGTAGCCTTCTTCCAGGGTGTGGGTTGCTTTTTCGCGCTATCCGTTTTTGCTCCATTATTCACGAGCTAAGTCGCCGCCCGGTCTGCCCTGTATAATGGCAAGAACAGTCGTGACCTGGCACTTTATAAACAACGCCAGACTGCTTACCTACCTCCATTTGGTCTTTTATTTGCATGATCCCTGTGGACTTTTCTGAACAGTCCTTCAACAACTC